GGGTTACATCTGTAACAGGAAACCGATGGAATTGGGAGCCGGCGATGTTTTTATTCCCACAGCTGGGGAAATCACAAGTTCGCACCATTTTGGTATTCCTCTGTTTACCTACAGCAGCTGACGAGGGTGTGTCGTGAGCCTGAGCCGGTGTTCGCGCTGTAGTAGTAGGTATATATAGGGCTAGTACATCTTCTTCCTCACTAATAATAGCCTACTGGTTCTCTGTTGGAAACAGCCAATAAAGTTTTCGTTAGCCGTTGCTATCCTGCGCACCTGCACGGCGCGATGATGAACTGTCTAATTGATTTCTGTTGCCGTGCTGTCTTGCGGGCCTGCACGGCGGAGTGATACTGGCCAGAAAATAGTCCCAATTGATAGCAAGGTCTGACGTAATGCGGGGATGTTTTAAAATTATTGAAATAGTCTAACAAAACACATGCATACTTTTTTGTTGCTTAAAACCTTTTGGTTACGTGTCCCCCATATATCTTCAGAACTACTTTTTCTCCGGTAAGCTACGGGCCATTTCTCAGAGCAGGAGGCTCGTTGACAGTAGTGACACCGTCACATCAGAGCTACAGATGGTCAGCATTTCACACTACTTCATGTCCAAAAACCCAAACTATCCCTTTAACCCAACCATGTTGTTGAAGGAAAAAAAAGTCAATTTGCGGTCTTGTACCAACGTAGTGCGTTTATTTTGAAAGAGGCTGTATATAACATTACATTTCCTGTGAAAACAGAAGTGTATCTTGTAAGTAGAGAACTCAACACGGTGTTGCAGAACGTCAACAACCAAGGCACCCAGGGTACCTTGCACGTCGTATGTGGAAAGTTGCATGACCAAACGTTAATATGTGACGAAGTTGGAGTGAGAATGTGTTGCACAGGGACAAGTTTTTTTATGAGTTGTGACTCTTTTCATCCAGGTATCACCAGGCTGGCTTGAGTCTAGCCAACACCCATCCCCTCCCCTCTGGCATTCCCACTGGCACTCACACACACACACACACACACACACACACACACACCGTGTCCGTCCTTTTTAGCCTGATCAATTTGTTTAGTTTACCTCGATGACACACAGGGCCTGCTAGAAATATCCTATCCTTAAAAATCGTCCTCCCCCCCTCTCCTTAAACGTCTGCTTTGGCTCGGCATGATGAATGATCGCTCGGACCAATCAATTCTATTTAGATAAGCTTGCCTCCAGAGAGGACAGGAAAGGAAAGAAGGATAGATTTTTTGAGTTATTCAACACAGAAGCCCAAGGTTATTGTTATTTGGGCTGCTCTCCAACCTGATATTTCTCAGGTAGGTCAGACTATAGCACCTTGGAAAATGTATTCCAGGAAATTAACCTCTGGGAAAGTAATGTAAGTATCCAGCAGCAGTGTACAGGATGAGCTTATCGTCAGTGCATCATTTACTCACAAATGTGAAAAATGCAACAACGTTTTTAGTGACTTTTAGTGTGTGAACTAGATAGTTGGTTGTTTTGACGTTAAAATGTATGTAAAGGACTCTGGTAGTGTACATGAATAAAGCTAACTCCACGTGACTCTGGAATAGAAGTGGGTTCTTAGTATCAGAATAAATGTTTCTGGTTGAGAAGAAAAATAAGATACGTTTTAAAAAGGATGCGATTTAAATGCAATGCTTTAACACGTCTCAGTTTTGTTGACATTGCAGACTCATTCTGGGTGGACAACCACTGTTCAAACCCACAAAACGTTATAGAGTGCTGCAGGAAAGAGTCCTGAAACCCCAAAATTTGTTAGCATTTTTGCACTCCGGGTTCCCTCGTCTCAAAGTCAACGTATTTTTGAAATTACGTAAATTTGTTAACTCAGGGCAACGCCTCTGATTACCTGCCAAGCCCACTTATACCTGGTCAACCCATCCTGCTCTGTTTGTCTCAGATTTCTCGACCCACCCTCCCTTCATCCATCATCCTCCCTACCTCATCCCTGCCAACATTCCTTCATCCTCTCTTCCCTTCTCCTCTCATCTCTTCTTATTCAGTCTGGTACATACCTCTCCCATGTCTCATTCTAGGTACCATCTGGGGGCCTGTAATCAGGGGGGTGTGCGAACCCCCATACTGAGTCTCCCTCTGCCCGATCTCCAGTACATCCTCCCCGACTAACCTAACAGAAGAAATCCCTCTGCCACCAGTCACCAGTCCTCAACAACTGTCACCTCCAGAATTAAAATTAAACATTTAAATGACATATTGTTGCATTGTCCTTGCTAGTGAATGAGTTTTTTGTTAGTTGCCTGAAATAAGGTCTAACGTTAACACAAGAAATTGTCACGTTTTGTTCTACGACAAAACACATGCCAGTAAATACCTCAGTCGTGAATTTTAAAGCTTGTACATTATGTGTGTTAAAGAAGCTGGTTGCTAACAAGTGGCTAAATAAGACGACAGAAAGTCATGTACTGCACTGTGGTGCAGTTATTTATAGCCCAACATTAGCTTTTTACTTCTGGCGATTGCATTTACACTTCAGAAATCATTAAAGTGGTGTGTATTTGTGAAGTGTATTTTGCTCAACAAAATCTGATGGGAAAATCCCAGTGGATTTTGTCAAGGGAACCAGGCTGATGTTAACTTAATAAATGTCAATCCTGCAGCAGTCTATTGTAAATGTTGAGAAATGTCCCAAAGTTTCTATGTATATCTTAAATATATCAAGTTGAGCAAAACACAATAGCATAAATTAAGTGGAAAGAATATATATTTATATGGGAGAAAGCTCAGCATGGATGATTTTGCTTTTTCATTCTGTAATTTTTTTTAAACTTGTCATTTCCTTTTCAGTTTTATTTTCATGCTTTTTGTTTCTTTATCTCTGAACTGAGTAATGGATTTTGGATAACTGTGTTGTGTTAAAAATCATATTTAAATTATGTTGAGTTATCCAGTGACAGAAATCTTACTGTATTACACTGTATTTTCTAGCTGCACCAGATGTTCATCGAAGGTTACTGGAAAAAAAGCACACATTAAACGAGTACAACTGCAGATTTTCAGACTTGATTCAGAACTTCAGCAAAGAAAGACACTGATATCTGGGACTAAAAGCGACACTTCAGCTCTCACCTGTCTCTTTAACAATGATATCAAGTGTTCATCCACAGTAGTAACTGCGCAAAATGACCCTCCAGGAGTGTTTTAAGTGGTGAATGCACAAATGCAATGGCTGAGATTAAGAAGTGATGTTTTACCCAACAGCTCCACCAAGTGGCTCACTTGCAGTGTTACCTGGAGGGGAAGAAGTAGCCACCAGACAAATATCTGCATGTTTTTCATTGTATTTATTCAATTATTGTCAATTACAGGATGTAAACTTTTGCTATTGGTCCCTGAGAATGACCTTTTCAGTATCACTTTTGAATATCTAAACACCTTTGAATATGACACCATTATCACAGAGTGATGAAACAGAACGATACACCAAAGTACAAACAGTAGTTACTCAAAAACGTTTTGTTCAAGCATAGTTGTCACAGCTGATTCATAGTTTACACACCGTACACATGACACATTTTCTTATATATCCCTCTGAGACACAGTAAAGAAGTTTTTTTCTAAAAACTCCTGTAACAACAGATACAAATTGTCATATGATTTTGAGAATGACTGGTTTGTCCTTTACTTGAAGAGCTTTACAAACATCTTTATATTTCATTTCATTTTAATATTTTAATGGAATAAGCTTAACTAATTTAACTTTTTATGCTGCGGCATCTCATATGGAGAAACTGCTGCACCTTACCCAGTATGGACATTCTGTGTGTTTATGTAAATCTATACACAAAACAATAAATTACAAACTTCAAATGAGCCGCTATTTACGTTCCGATTCACAAATGCCGCAGTAAATACAGAGAGAAAATGCTGCATCACCTTCATCATAAAAAATGATGGTCCCTGACTTTTCCAGGCATGCACACATCAAAATATGATAGATTACACCTGCATATTTATGAGCATAATTTCAGACATTTTCCATCACAGCAGACATGTTTTGAAACTCTAATGTAAAAATAATCATGTTTATATTTCAGTGCTGCCTCTGAAAGGTATAAGTAGATGGAAGCTTGGTGTTTACTGTACATTTTTGAAAATTCCCTCAAACATCTTGCTTTTGGGGGGTTTAAAAAATATGTTTACTTCTGTCATTGAAATATTCACTCTGAAGCAAAACCAAACCTGTAATTAAACTGCTCTCCAGACTAACAAAGACCCAAATATAGAGATACGGAGATGGCAATCAAGTCTGTGAAGTGACATGTTTTTGACGCATTTTTTGTTGTTGAATTCTCGCTGTGTGTCAGATGACTGACAGGACGCATTGACATGCAAACAATCGACACAATGAAATTAGGATATTTCATTACATTTTGTTCTGTGCAAGCTGACTGACTGTCAATGCCAATGGCAGCAAAGGGCGTCTTCTGTGGGAGGGAAATGAGCTCTTGTCTACCTGTTGCTACACTAACTGTGTTCAGAGACACCCACAGAATGGGAAGTTAAGGGGATCCCACCACACAAACATGAAAATTAAAGTATATCTAAGACATTTGATCAGATGTATAGTGCTAATTTTACACCTCTCTTAGACACTATAAAATGTGAGCTTGACCGCTGGGCGTCCCTCCCGCTGTCGTAGCTTGGTAGGGTTGCACTCATCAAAATGAATGCCTTACCAAGGCTTTTGTATCCACTCCAAATGGTGCCCATTATTCTTTCAAATAAGGTGGTTAAGATCCTTGAAGGTTGGCTGAGTTCATTTATTTGGAATAAAAGAAGGCCCCATTTGAAGTTAGCAAAATTACAGTTACCAAAGGCTGCTGGAGGTTTAGATCTTCCAAATGTAAGGTGGTATCAGGTGGCTGCACACTTAAGGTTCGTGGCCGAATGGCTGAAGGAAGATCAGTCTTCTACATGGCTAGATATAGAAGCTGCCCAATGTAGTTGTCCACTCCAAAATCTGTTATTTCTCATAGATACTGCCTTAGCAAAAAAACTGTGTACAAACCCAATCGTCCTAAACACGCTAAGGGCATGGAAATTTGCAAGATCTATGGAGGGTTGAACCAAGTTAACATCACCCCGCACCTTAAGTCAAGGGAACCCTGATTTCCCCCCAGGTGTTGAGGACCCTGTGTTTAGGCTATGGCGAGATGGTGGCATAACAACATTAGGAGATTTATTTAACGGCTCTGCCTTGATATCTTTCACTCAGTTACAGCAAAAATATGTCTTCACAGGCCTCACTTTCTTTAGTTTTCTGCAGGTGGGACACAATCAATGACTGCATCTTATCTTGAACATAGTCATAACGGGACTGCCTTGCCTGCAACTGTAATTGAGGGATACCTAACCAATTAACTTACTAGTTCATTTTATTTACTTATTTATTTCTGTATACTCTCTCTGTCCACCTGTAAAATGTGTATGACGCATAACTTGTCACATGAAACTTTTGTTTCCTAGTATTATGTCCTATTGTGAAATGTCTTAGCTGCCCTGTTCATGTTTTTGTTTGTTCGTTTGTTGTAATATGTAAAAAACAAATAAAAATATATTTAAAAAAAAAGTATATCTAAGAGAAGAGAAAATAGATCTCTGAGCTTTGTGTTGTATTTTTGCAATTTTATAATCATTGAGGATTTGTTGCCAAATGGCTTTTTGATTCCTGAGAGCACATCCTTCAACATCACCAGTTAAGCACACGTCGGCACATGTGTATAGTGTTTATAATGTGGCAAATGGGAGCAATAGCTTAAAAGTGAGGGTACTGTAAATTTGATGAAAGTCTAGTAAAATGTAATCACTGCATGGAGATACAATCATGCCAGAAGGAGAAAGAACATGACTCAGCAGATCCAGTATTTTGATTGCCACAGATGTAGTCATAGGGCCCTATTCAAACACATGGTCTAAAGTGCATGGCACAAGTGCCTTTAGGTTGTATTCAGCTACACTTCACCAGTTAAACAACACATAATCTGGGTGCAAAGTAAGACGCAAGGGGCAAAACGGCTGTATTTAGTCCTTTAATTAATCTTAGGTTCTTCGTAATCTTAGTTTGGGGTATAAAGTGAATATAACCAGAGTGTCATCTGCCTTTCTCTTAAAAACACAGGTGCACCTTTTTACATGGCGGTTTCGGCAAATTAGAGAAGCAAGCAGTTTTCTGTTGACAGTTATGCAGTAAGAGCAGTAATGTCACTACAGCAAATACCGAGGGACATTTAAGCCGCAAAACTAAAAACTATAGTTATAAACTTGAAATATAAAACAGTGCTAAACTTTTAGCTGAATAATCAATAAGGTTCTGCAGCTCCTCATGCATACATTTGCACAGCCACTCTCTTTAATGAGGAGTCTTGTGCAGAACAGCAGCTCTGCGGCTCTGCTCTGGTCTCTGCTTTGTTCAAATTTTGGAAAATGTTACAAATATTTTCCTCATTAATGATGCTGGTATTAATGATGCAACCCTTCCATGCGACCCTGTGTGTCTAACAAGCAGAGTGTACCTTTGTAGGTGTATCCTACTATCTGAATAATTCACCTTTAAAATTGCAGCAAAATACTCAGCCTAATCTGACTTTAGAGCAGGTTTCTGTTGGTCAGTGGCATCATCGCTTTCTACTGCTTCAAAATAGCAATGCATTAACAACCTACTCACCTGTGGGCACACAGATGCACAAGTACATTCACCACTTGTGGGCGCTGGCCTTGAAAATGACAACTGCATCAGTCTAAAACTAGCAATGGCTGTTGCGCTGCATTGTGCAACGCTTTACACCAGGTGTAAGATAGGGCCCAAAATGTCCAAGATCATCTGAAACTAGGATGAACATCTCAAGGAAAAACAGTTGGAAAACAGCCAGAATCCAATTTGTACTCAAAGATTTGGACCCAGGATTTGATAAGAATAAGAATCAATAGGCAGAAACACAATGGCTACAATCTGAATGATAACCAACCCCACAATTTTTTTATGTTTTTTAATCTCTTTGAAGCACTTGCAATTAGACGCCTCACACTTCAGACGATGTGCTTCTTCTGCTGGGTGTCAGACTGAGACTACACTTTGCTCTCATAGGACACACTTGTCCGTGAGCCCGGCACATTGAGGCACATCTCAGCCTCTGTATCCTCACTATCCACCTTCTCAGAAACTGTATGGACTGAAACTTTGACATCAGCACCGCCTCCATCGTTCCTACCACTTGACAGCAGAGCCTGACGCACCTCCTCCCCCTCCTCCTTCTCTCCACTTTTGTCAGCGGAGGGAGGGCCTATGGCTGGTCTGTTCAGAGACACTGATGTCCCAGCCTGCTCTGCAGCGTGAGACCTCGGCTTCCCTGTCTCCACGACCTCCTCAACGAATGTGCGGCAGTTTAAAATGAGCGGTGGCAGGGGGACGCTCCGAGCCAGATCCTCCATGTGACGAGCAAACTCCATGGTCTTGTACTGCGTGACCTTGGCGAGCTCCACCGTCTTGGCCGACGTGACGATTGGAATGCGCTTGGCGACCTCAAACGCCTTCTGCAGCTTCTCTGCGCCCTCGGTGCGGAAGAACTCATTGATGGCTCTCTCGGTCTTCTTGAGGTGGCTGCTGACCATGCAAAGCCGCGCCACGTTGAGGATCATGGTGATGGTGAAGGCCACCAAGCAGACGATGACGTAGTAAAGGCCCAAGCCACTGTCGGTGTGAGCTACACGAAGAGTGACGGTGTAGTTTTTGTTCCCACCGCTGCCACCGGAGGCGACGCAGGTGTAGCTGCCACGGTCCTCGAAGGAGACCATAGTGATGTTCAGGGTGCCCTCCTCCTGAATCTGCCACTTCTCACCTGAAGTTTAAACACAGAAGACAACAAAAGAAGACAGTTTGAGTTTTACCAAAAAACAGAGGTATGAGTTGAGAAGTGGGAAAACATTAGGAACAAACTGTAATATTGTAATCACTGACTCTAACAAGCACTTTGTAATGCAGCATCAGAAACACAGACACTGGCTCTCATGTAATTTAATTTTAACGTAATGTCATTTGGGTCAAATTAGCGCCCCAAACACTTCCTGATAAGATAAAATCGGTTTATGTATCAGATTCAACAAACAACAACATTATTATGTTATTGTTTTAGCATTGACTCACAAACTGCTTCTGCACTGTGGTGTCAGGGTTTATTGACAGCCTTAAACTGATAATGGTGAATGACACTGATATCAACAAGAGGTGTTATGATGATAATGGGCTCAAGACTGTATAGGAACTGATGAATTATGTGTAAATAATTGAGGGATAGCAATGCCAGACTTGATAACTGAACAATGGACAAAATGCCTGATTGTGTACAATATACTATTCGAACTGTATTAAATAACCTCTCATGAATGAAATAGCATTTTGGTATTAGTATGGTATGGATAACTTTTTGACTATTGTTACATTTGATGACAAACCTTAGTTAACTTTTTGGTCTGTAGATCTTGTTTTCTCTACAGACACTTGTCTTGTGTTGTATTGTTTTGCACTGCACTTTACTGATTATGTACTGTTTTGTTCTAAATGGTTTCTTTTCTTCTGTACGATCGATTGGTCTGTGTAGTTATTTACAAGCCTAATTTCACTGTACAATCCTCAGTTTGCAGTTTTGGTTTACTTATTTGGTTTTATTTGACATTATATGAATGCCTATATTAAATCATAAACATCTACAAATCAAGAATTTGTTTTTCTTCCCCCAAGGCCATCAGCACACTAAATAAAACATAAAAATCAAATAATGTTTACTACTGTCATTCTGCCATCCACTAAGCACTTTGCTGCACTTTAAATACTTTTATATTCATTTATTTATTGCATTTTTATCACTCACTAAATGTCCTCTGTCTTGTGTTTTTATGTTCTGTGTTGCAATACGTCACTGGAGTGTCACAACCAATTGCAATGACATTAAAGGCTTTCTAGACTTTTTCTAGAATGACACAATTAGGTCCAACTCATTGCAATTGTGGTCGTCAATGCAAAGAGATCTATGTCTAGGTGATGGCGAAAAGACATACACATCAACGTTAAAACTGCACTTCATTCCATATGACCTTTGCTATAGTAGAATTTATATTACTGGATTTTTCTGGACGTACTTCACATGAAAATATAGTCATTTAAATGCTTTTGAAATCACATGTATAAGTAACCTAGATGTGTTAAAATCTGTCTCTTTCAACCAAATTTAGAAATGTTTTAACCCAGACAGATGTATTTTTACAGATGTAAATTCACTACATTGATGCCTGCTGATTGTTTAGACGTGTGTATTTGACAAACTAGGGTTTTTGACTGTGTCCATGTTTCAATACACCTGTTTAAGAAAAATACATCTTCAGGGAAGGTATAGCGTCTTGATACTCACACTACAGTGAAGGCACTCTGATTAAATGCGACCTTGATAATAACATCGAGTTGGAGTATTACTTTTTTAAATATAAAACAACTATGTAGCACAAAAGGAACTCAAAGTTGTTCACAAACTTCCTCTCAGCACCCCATTTCCTCCTCCCACTTGTTTCCTTACCCAGCAGAGGTCCCTTAGAGTTGTACCACTTAATGTCATCGTGGCTTCCGGTCACATTACACTCAATCAGTGTGCTGGATCCTTCCTTCGCCACAATGTTTCTGCTCGAGGGGATGCTGGCAAGCCGCACGGAGGACATGGTCTCTGTCTCTGTCCCATTCTGAGCCCCGTCTGCTGTCCAGCCACCGAGCAGCAGGACAGTGAGGAGCAGGAGTGACAGGTGGTGTCTCTGAGATGATAACATGTCAGAAGGAGTTACAGCTTCAGCTCACATTTAGACGGGACAAACCTGCAAAACAGGAAGAGTCAACAGTGATGGCTCAGGCAGCAACACAGGATTGCAGACACTTTTTTAGTGTCTTCACATAGTCCTGTCCTTATTTAAAAAATCTTCAGTATTTTAACATAAACTCGTTAACCCTCAAGACATAACACTGTCATGGATTCATTTTTAACTAAATATAGAAACTGAAATTTAAACCCCACTCTCAATTCGGATGCTCAAGGCCAACACTTTACTTGATATATTAGAACAGTGCTTTGTCTTCTATGTTTTTCTTATCACTATATTGATTGTTTTGCTTTCCCCAGTCATATATTCTTAATTACTGTAATATACCTTATTAGTTACATGGGCTTTAATGCATGCAATTTCATTAGCTTAATTTGTTTCTAATGTGATAAGGTTAATTTGATTGGTTCTACTGTCTTTTCACTGCCTCATAAATCACTGGTCAATATTGTTATCCTTTTAAAATAAACCAAAACGAAGAAGAAGAAATTAAGATAATGAAGATAATAGAGTCAGACATGATCTCCAGGGAGCACATGGAGATGCTAATGAAACTGCATTAAACAGTACATTGATTTGGTCTTTTAATTAGGCTAATTTACAGACTGTGAGTGTCTTTGGTTATATTTGGCGACATAGTGATACTACAGGAGATTTAAATTAAAACTATTGGTGTATCAAGAAACATTTTACCAGAGGGAGCATACACATATCACGCCAAATTCATCCAAACACACAGCCCAGAAGAGATGCCCACCTGCTGCTCGGACAGCGACCAAAACAACAAATCCTCGACCGACATGAACGTCCAACAGTTTTGTTCCTGATGTATGTTCGAAGATATTCCTTTTAGTCCTGTTTTAATCTGTTAAAAGGCCTTGATGCACAAGTGTTCAAGCACAACAGGTGCTATCTGACCGTTCCGTGCACTTCCTGGTTCAGGTGTGAGTGAGTGGGCGTGGCTTGTTTTCAATTCTCCAGTGCAGGGAGGTGATGATGGGAAAGATTTGACATGCTGGGTAAATAATGCTGAATTAAACATAGCTTTTGCTATAATGGTAATAATAATAATAATAATAATAGTAATATATTTTAATCTAATATTGTCAACCAGTATTCCTTTTTTTTAATTTACACCCAGGTAAACATATTTAGTATATTGCATGATATAAAACATTTTTCAGCCATTTGTGTCTTTATTTCATTGGTGACACGCAAAACATGTTGGACTGATTTTTTACATTTGACATTTTATGAAGCACATAGATTACACAAACAGTAGCTACAAATAAAAGACTTCTCTTCAAATTTGAAATAGAAATTTAGTTTTGCAGGCTACATATTGATATAAATAAGATTCACAAGACAAAATGCACTGACTCCATGTATAACATTGGACATAGTTTTTCTTAGCACTGGTCGCTGAATAACAGATATGTTAAAATAGAAAAGCTGTGAAGATGCATTGTATGTTATTGTTAAATAGTATGTGTTCATTTAACAATGCTCATTTTATTTTAACTCGTTAATTGTGTTTATAAGGAAAGTAATTGATAAAAAAAATTTTTTCGAACAAACAACAAATAAATATTAATGTGTTTTGTTTTTGAGAACCAAAGCTAGTTTTTGAAAGCAATATTTCTTTAGCGGAAGTTTACATCATTTTATTTTGACCGTTCCGGAAGTATTGTTTAGATTTTCAAGCGTCAAGTTCCCTCGCGAGAGAAAGAGAGACCAGTAGTACAGCATCTTATCCTTCAAAATAAAATCGTAACTGTTGTCACCGCTGAAACAAGTCAAATAATATCGATCTACAATCTACACCAAACTTTTAGGAAGTCTCTAATTACATAACAAACAATTTATTCCACTTAAACGCATTCTTTGTTTTACAGTATTTTTTTTAAACCTTAATGTTCTAAATGGTACTTTTATTTTGAAGTTACGTACCGGAACCTTTGTTCCTCAGTGTGGCTAACTGTTGGACCTGCTAAGTGAAAACAATATGTGACGTGGCTAACCCTGTGGACAAAAAGAACAAGTAAACCTAAAGCATTAAATTGTTTACTGGAAAACTAAAAGGAGCTTAACACTTAGGAAAACACGGGCAGTCCGAAATAAAGAAGACAAACCTTTCGTGTTGGTGAGTTTGGCGAGGAAACTGTTAGCAGGCTAGGGTAACGTTAACTGCTAGCATCAAGACTTTGACAGGAGAAAGGTGAGTATGTTGCAGAAGTATAACGGTGTATGTTGTTTTTTTGGCTTATTAATACGTTGGTAACTATATAAACAGCTTGCATCGATAAACAAAAATAAAAAAGCTGACGCAACTTCAGTCATAGTAGCGTTAAGGCAGGAATAGCAATTCAACTAATAATGCTAACGTTATGGTAATTTCGCTTTAAATATATGACTAACAGATGTGAGTGCAATGTTAATGTAATGTTTATCATAAGCCAGTACCTGTTCCTGATATGTATGTTAGCTGTTGGCTTCAAGAATTTGTGCTTCCATGCGCAAATATAGTTTATGTATTTGGATGTATAGTCCACGCAGTATAGCAGACTGGACTTTAGACTAGCACTGCCTCCAGCTGCACAGATAACCAACAGCTGATGAGTTAGCTGCTGTTCCCTGGGTGTTACTGAGATGCATTCTGGGAAATGCATGACACCACTGGTTGGATGAAACATTTTACTACAAAGTAACTCCTGGAATAAGTGCATTTAATATCACAGTGTTTGGGTCTAACAGCGAGGAATGACTGGTTTTTTCCTTACTGGACACTTCAGCTGTCTCTGTGTTTATTAAGTCATGTGTTACAAAACCCTTGTTACATCAATACCAAACTGATCCAGTGCTCTCGATTTCACTTTGAAGGCATGAACTAAGACATCAAGATGTCAGACAGCGAAGCTACAGCAGCAGAGGGTCCAGAGGTGGAACCAGAGTTTCAGGATGCCTGTCCTGCAGAAACACCCGACAGCTCCTCAGCGAGCACACCTGACAATTCGACTGACGTGGCTCCCACAAGGAAAGCCAGGAGGAGACCAGACGTCAAACTTGCAGATGAAGTTGAGGAGGCGCCGAAAGTAGAGGAGCAGCCAGCAAAGTCACCAGTAAGATCATTATTGTTTGTACTAGACAATAAAAAGGGAACATTACTTCAGCAGGAATGCCCTTCTGATTGTTTGAGAGCATATGGCTGTAAAGAGACAAACACTGGACAACATTTTCACAGCCTGGCTGTAATTTTTCTTGTGGTGTTCATCGTAATACACTTTTGGTAACAGTAATATAAAGCTATCATTGAAAGTATTCTCACTTTATTAAGGAAAGTCTGGCATGGCAGATTAGGGAATTCAACACCCCAAATACTACTGTAGTTAAAAAAAAAGATCTGTCTGGTCATCTAATGACCTCCTGGCCTTACACTTAATAGTACCCTGTGTTGTGTAAATATTCAGGTGTTCAAGCAGCTGTATTTTTGCAAGTGTTTTGCACTAGTGATAACCCACATCTTGTGTGAGTTGAATTCTCCATTAACTCCAAGGTCACACTGACTTTTTGTGCACAGAAGAAACTGTTTTTTTTCTTTCTATTTCTGCAACTCATTCGCTCTGTTTCTTGCTTTCTCTCTGTCTTTTCCCTCCTTCCTCTTCCATCCTTATCCTCTATCTCCTCATGTCCTCTATCTCCTCATGTCCTCTCTCTCAGGCACCGAGTGAGTCCACCGTGTCTCAGGGTGGTTGGGGATACTGGGGCAGCTGGGGCAAATCCATCTTATCCACAGCAACAGCTACTGTGGCCACTGTGGGTGAGTATAGACCGCTGAAATCACCCAAGCTTTTTGTATGACTATGGCAGTCTTTTTTAAGTCAACCACTTGGGGAACTTTCCTAAAAAGCTTTGTCTCGTCTTGGTTCGATCTCCTCATTTGAAGACCTGAAACACATTTCTAAGATATTTAAATTTTATCATTTTCGAGGTAAATGTAGTTGTGTGTATGCAGGCGTGTGTATAGGTTTATGTTGTTAATTGTATTTGAACTAAAGTGATCATGGAATAGTCCAGGAAATCGAAAGACAAAAACGTATCACACATTTTCTATCATTGTGTATTAATTGTTGTAATACACTGTTTCACATCACTGTTATTTAAAACATCCTCTGTACTATACATGCTGTTTATCTCTTCTGTCTGTCCAGGCCAAGGGCTCACTCAGGTGATAGAGAAGGCAGAGACGTCACTAGGAATCCCCAGTCCAACCGAACTCTCTGCGCAAGTTGAGGAAGAGCAGAAGGAGCGAAGTAAGGCTTTACTGTATGTTGCGTCTTGTGTGACAAAGGCACAACACTGGATAAGCTAGTCCAATTCTCATGGATCTACCTCTCTTTTACACAGAGATGTATAAATATGAGTCAAATTATCACACATCACATATTTACTTCATATCCTGTTAGCCCTTTTGTCACAGTATGTATTGTGTTTGTTTTGTCTCCTGTAGGTGAATCCATCAGTGAGTCAGACAAAGCGGCCAGAGATGGATCAGCAGCGGCGGTGGGAAGTGCAATGGGAATGCTGACATCGCTCACGAGTGTCGTCCAGAGCACAGTAAGCAGAAACATACTCTGTGTTTTGTTTGTGTTTCTTTAGCCAATTCACTTTTTATTCATCTTTTAAAAATGTTCCAAGACATTAAATGTGAGCATGCCTCTGTGCTATCAGTGGAAAACTGCATAAATCCAGTTTTTGTCATTTCTGTGTTTTAGAAATAAACAAAGGATTACATTTTCCTGAGCTGTTTGGTCTGTAAAACCTTTTCCAAACCTTTCAGACAACTCATATGTCCTTGTCATCACAGGGGAAAACGGTGATTACGGGCGGCCTAGATGCTCTGGAGTTCATTGGGAAGAAGACGATGGATGTGATAGCAGAAGGCGATCCAGGCTTTAAGAAGACCAAAGGACTGATGATCAGGAACTCCACTTTGTCTCAGGTTGGCAGGCCAGGGCCAAATATGTAAATGAGGAGCTCATTTTCAAAGTGTCCAATATTAATTTTTATGATGGACTGGAATATTTAAAGCCTAAATTTGACCTTCAGCAACTCTAAAAAATGAGAGATGAGACTTCATACTGTTTCAACTTTTTCTATGTGTTAGCTGGCTCACACTAGTTTTACTCCTGATTGTCTGACAGGCGACTGATGTTTAGTCCCCTTTCTTTCAAACTGTCATCTCTCTCTGTCTCGCAGGTGTTGAGGGAGGCGAAGGAGCGAGAGGAGCTGCAAACGGCAGAAACAGAGTCTTCAGACTCCGAGAAGAAGGTGGTGGCTCACTACGGGATGCTGTTTGATGAATTTCAGGGTCTGTCGCACCTCGAGGCGCTGGAGATTCTGTCTCGAGAGAGTGAGTCTAAGGTACGGTGAGACTTTTATTCCAAAATATTTCACCTACTGCAGCCAAATAGGCATGCTGAGACATTGTTTTTAGCTCTCATGATTTAATGGGATCTGGTAAAAGCCTCAAATATAACTGTTTGTGTTTTCTTTTCTTCCTTTTTTCCTTTTCTCATGCGTGTGTGCTGAAGGTGAAGTCAGTGCTGACCACTCTATCAGGAGACGAGCTGGTTCAGCTCAGACAGGAGTTGGATCTCATTAAGGACGCTTTCTCTCTTGTGGAGTTTGATGATGAGGAAGTTGATGAGAAGAAAGGTAACATCACTGTTAAAGGTTTATTAAAAATAGCAGCAGTGCAAGAGGAAAGCAGCAACATATACACCTGACTTGATGTTACACATGAAATGACTGATTGTACATTTCTATTTCCAGATGAAGACGGCTCAGAGTTTGAGAAGGAGTTAACGGAGGCTCTGGAGGGGCTCAGTGTCAGCGCCACAGCTGACAAACTCAGCAAGGTACCAGCTTGGATCAGATTCCTCTTCAGTTTTTGTTTAATTAATTTGTTCGGCTGTAATTTGTAGTGTTTTATTACAAATTGCTACAAATAGTGAATAAAAAAGTTTAATTAAAATCTCATTGATACAATCTAGTTGAAAAATATACAGCATATATTCAAGCACCGGAGGTAGTATAAATTACACTGACATTGTTTGGTACAGTTCCTGATTTTACTGAGGTCAGCTGGTGGTTTACAAACCTGAGCAGTCTCATGTGAACAGAGCTGTGATTATATTAATACCATGGTCTCTCTACCCTCCAACAGGCCTGTAAGAACACCTGCAGCCAGATCACTGACATGTCCAAACCAGAGCAGGAAGAGGAAGAGAGTGAGGACGCTGTAAAGAAAACAGTCTCTGTAGAGGTATGCTGATGTCATCAATATTTAATATTACAAAGAAGGACATAATTTGAGGTTTCTATCAGACCCATAGGCTAAGCTAATAGCTTTATGACAAGGCTTGGGAGTGTGCTGATTCTAGCCAGTCCAAAGTTACTTTTAAATTGTTGAGAGATTATAAAACTGTAAATGAAACTAGATCTGCAATGATAAGTCACCTAATGGATTATTCAATTGAAAGAAAATAAATGTCAGCTATTTTGGTTATTAATCCTTTAAGTCATTTTTAAGTCAAAACTGTTAAAAAAAATTACATTTTCAGGTTCTCAAATGTGATGAGTTGCTGCTTTCATTGGTCTTACATTATAGTACATTTATATTTTGTTGGTTTGGAAATGTTGGTGTGACAAAACAAGACATTCAATGAATTCACTTTAGGCTCCAGGGTATTGAGACAGGCTTTTCTCACTGGTTTCTAATGTTTTGTTGACCAAACAATTAATCTATTAATTGAGTAAAAAATCTACAGATTAATTGATAGCCAACATAATCAATAGTTGCAGTCCTAGAAGCTACACTCACTGTTATGGTTGCAGTCCTGTTTAGGCAAAAGTGTAGTCATTATTTTTTTAGTTAATTGTTAATCTGTATCAAGAAATTGTGAAAATTAAACAATTCCCCAGAGCCCAAAGTGATATCCTCAAATTGCTTATTTTGTCTGACCAACTGTCCCAAACCCAAAATATTAAGTTTGCAATTATGTAAAACAGAGAAAAGCAACAAATCCCCAGGAAGGAGAAAATGTTTGTCATTTTTATTTGATAAATGAGGTAAAAAATGAATTGGTTAATTAATTTGTTATCAGAAAGGTTGACTAATCGAAATACCTCTTAGATTTCAGTGGGTCTCACAGTAAAGGTGGGATGTTCTTTTGTCTGAGCATCCTGGTGTATTTGGAACAAGTTAAACTGACTCAAATGACTAAATTGATTAAAATTCAATATTTCTTTGAGAAAGAGAAATATTTCAATGTACTGCTGGATGTTTTGTAGTATGTATCATTTTCAGTCCTCACAGTTTCCTCTGTATGTGGTTTATGGGCCATTCAGCAGTGTGTGTGTGTGTGTGTGTGTGTGTGTGTGTGTGTGTGTTAAATTATTTCAGGATGTTCATGCTGCAGCCATCAGGAGTCTGGCAGAGCTGACGGCACGATCCATTGAGCTTTTCCACAAACTGGCTGAGATGATCCTGTTCTCCAACGGCAGCACGGAGGCCAGCGCCCTGTCACAGTAAGATGACATGGACTCTCTGTTTGGAGACTCTGCAGGAGCTCAGCTGTAGATCTAGTATCTGTACTTTAATTGAGCATTTTTGTCTGTCCTCAGGTTAACGGTTGTCCTGTGTAAGGAAATCTCACTGCTTTCCAAGAAGTTCACCTCCTGCTTAACAACAGCAGGGGTAAGTGTGACGATTCTAGCTTAAACTAACTCTCTGTGTATCAAAGAGTTTGGGATCATTGAGGATTTTCATCATCATTATCATGTAATTTTGAACCATTGAAGTAATTAATGTTATTTTTGTTTGTATGGTTAGTTTGGAGGTGCATTATGGGAAGTGTAGGAACTAGTGTTTTTGGAGTTTGACCCATACTAGGGACTAAAGTCAGCCACTCGGCCTCTGCTGCTTCATTTTTTAAAATTCCATTTTTTCTTTTTTCTTTCTTTATACAGTGCAGTTTTTACTGTTTTTCAGCCTGGTGTTGCATTTTCTCAGAATAAACATCCTGTTTTAATACTCAGTCGTGGTGATGTCTGCAATTAAGACAGCAAGAGTGAGGCAATATGACATTTATCAAGTTACAGCCGTTTACATCATCTGAATTAGTTTGATTTAGCGTTCAAAGAGACGCCTTTTATCGTCTTTAACTCGCGTCATCCCTCTGTTTCTTTCCACCCACGTTTTTCTGATCTGCTGAAAATGTCAAACTCCAAACTGTCAGAACTCTAATTTGTGCTGCTCTTTGTACCTTCAGCGTTTTCATTTTCCACTCTACTTCTCTCAGCTTTGACACATAATCACTACTGCGGCGGCTTCATCTGAGAGCTGATTGTAGTTTGATCTAAACGTTGTGTTTTACAGTCAAACGAGAAGGGGGATGTCCTCAACCCGCTGATAACAGGAGTCTTTTTAGAGGTTTGTGTCACTGCACTACAGCTCTCATCACACACAGTGTCATTAAGTCACACTAATGCAGTTTTATCTTTATCCATATCATTGCCTGCATAGTGGGTCAGTTTTACTTTACAATGCAAACACAGTATCACAGCATTTGCTTTATTATACGTGTAGTCGTCTTTTTGGTCATGTGAGGATGTTCCACAGTTGCACATGTTAGTGATTTCACCTCTATTTGATTTGACATGTTTTACCGAGGGTCAACTCTTGGACCTTAAATCTTTATACACATCTGTGTTGCTCTGTAATCAGCAGACAACATTACTTATTTTAGCTCCGTAGGCTACACATAACTCTATATTTTATTGTCACTGTCTCCTGATTACATGAGATGAATGTCATAAAACTCCCAATTCTATGGATATTTAGATTCCAGAAATAAAAACCTATTGGCGTCCTTGTTGATGCTGCGTCAGATAATTATGAAACCTCAATTTATATAGTCATTTATAGTTAGTTAGGCAATAATTGAATCATAAAATCTTATTTTAAGTTATAAACAACAACAAAAGGACTGAGATTATCCCACCTGTTTCCAATACAAATGAACAGATTGAAAGAATATCGTATAATTAAGTTTCACTTTCTTTATACAAATGCAGCGATCTGTGTGCTGCTGTCTTGTAAAAGATACCAACAAATTTCTTTCTATAAAAGTCATTTAATATTTAGAGCTAACTGTGCTGGGAACAAATCAGGGCTGGGCGATATGGACAAAAATTCGAACTCGGTAGTTACAGGCTGACTTGCAATACATGATATATATCTTGGTATTTTCTATGAAACGACAAAACATTTGTCTTTTGCAGGACACATTTTCCAAACAAATACAACATGCTAACGTCTTAGCACAAGTCTATGGCATTTTACATTGTATAAATTAGCCTAGCAGCTAGTGTACTTTTCCTCTACTCATATGAAGCCAGGGACAACAGCAACATTTAACAAAGTAACGTTACAAAATCTGGCTCCATTACAACTCACAAGGTTCACTGACCAAGCAACTATCTTTTACTAAACACGTTTTCCAAACAAATACAACTTGCTAACGTTATTAGCACAAGTCTATGGCATTTTATATTGTATAGATTAGCCAAGTGGATAGCAAAGATTTCCTCTGCTCATATGAAGCCAGGATAAATCACACACAAGATTTAAAATGCTATTTTGTGTGGAGGCTGTATTGTCTGCACTATTTATTGTTTCTTACTTGTGAAATTAAAGTAAATAAAAGCCTACAAAAACAGACGGGAGGTCTGTGTCGCTGCAACATGTAGTTACATTTCTGGGGAGGTGCATGTCAGGCTACGCGTCTAAAAGGTGTTGCTGTCGTCTAAATTTATATCTTGCTTCAAAAAGTCGTTATATCGCCCAGCACTAGAACAAACAGAATTATTCCACGTCATTGGTAGGAATGATTCTCCTTAAAGAAAAAAGAGTCTTAATAATATGATATTTTGCAGTTGGATTGTCTGTATTTGTGTCATGGGGCTTTACAGGCACGTTTCAGAGTGATATTAAAACACTGTGTGTCTCATGTTATGGATTCTCTCTCCTTGTAGGCGTCCAACAGTGCATCTTACATCCAAGATGCTTTCCAGCTGCTGATGCCCATACTGGAGATCTCCCACATTCAGAGGAAAGCTGAATCCACAGAGCAGTGACCAACTGACGTCAGCTCTGTTCTCCATCGCTGCCATGACGCTGGGACTGTGTCACAGCAGAGAACTGACACATCTATAGAACTTGTTTGTTGAAAAATCATCTACGTCAGCTCTTACTACGTCTGTTTACAGCTCAGGACAAAAATCAGTTTCAAGTGTGTTTTTGTCAAACAGTGTTAACCTTTTTTTTTTTTTTGATTAGCTGGTTTAATTGTAAAGCACAGTAGATGGACTCATTGCAGTGTGGAGGAGGTCTGGATCTACCAGCTGAGGGAAACAAATGCTTTTCTGTTAAACGGAGCAACTTATTGTTCTTCCTTGTACACTGACATGTACACTATTTCTTTCTGACAGCACTATATTAAAAGATATAAATTACACCTCAGAGAACACTTAAATAAAGACATAGGATGGGAACTCCAGTGGTAGTTTGTTAAAAAGAAAGGTGTGTCTCATAATAAATAGTAAGATATATAGATAATGTATTTTTCTCATTACTGCACAGAGAATAGTTTGGACTTTATTTTCTATGCATATCTCTCTAAAGCTCTGGTTCCTGGAACAGTCGGAGCCGAGTTTTTTTGTGACCAACTGCTATAATTAGTTTACAGTATTGTAGCTCTAATGATGCCTGTTTGTTTAATAACATGCTTGCAATTTGACTCTGTAGCTTTATTGTATACAACAATATCAGCTTTAATTCAGTATTTTCTGTCACTTGCAAAATACAAGGCATCCTTATATGTTTCAGTAGCTGCCATGGATGTGTAAAGAGGCTGATGGCTCCACATACTCAACTCCCTGGTTGGCTTTATTTTGCTCTTCAGCCATCCCCACAATTGAGGACTTAAGATTTTAGTTGGATTTGAGTCAAACAACTAATTACTGTTTCACTGCTGAGACTCAAGTGTCAGGTTTTGACCTGGTGGAATTGTAGAAGGAAAATAAATTAATGAGACTGTAACAGGCAGGATTTGTTTGGCCACACAGCATCTATTTTTTATAATTAGGCCTAAATGACTTGCAGCAGTCTCACAGTCCCTGATGTGTCTCTCTGTTTTCTCTCTGTTGACCACTCTTGGAAATAATCACACGTGCTGTAAGAGAAATATGCATCAACACTATTACAAGATTCCTCTTTATTGTCATTAAAGTCATTATTCATGGAACTTCAACGTAACTTCAGGTGTTTATGCATCAACAGAGGAGCTTCTATCTGCCATGACAGTTGTGATTGTCTTTGAGCCAATGGCCTTCAGTTTTATGATGCTGAAGCGCTGACAGCTGTGTGTTGTGGGCATGTGAAGTGATATATTTTCGAGCAATATACTGTACTCTATCAGATGTTTGAGGTGGTTTTCAAATAAAGACGCTTTCATACAGGCGCAATCTGGGATTTGTGTATGTGAGTTAAAGTTACAGATTTAGACGACTAGTTTTAGTGTGTATTAAAGGACGTGTGTTTTGATCCATGGAGGTTGTGGGGACAGATACCTTGTGTACTTTTGGTCTGTGTGTGGTTTCCTGGTTTGGTCCCATTATATTTACACTATATTTTAGTGTGTGCTTTTAACTTTGTGAGAACAGTTTGGGAAAGGCTCTGTCCTGTTTTAACATGACAACAGACTCCCCAGTCTCCATCCAACAGCAACTGTAAGCCAGGTCTTAACATCCAACATCAGTGCTGGACCAAAATCTGGTCGTGGAGGTTGTTTTAGCAGCAGATTAATACCCGTGGTTTTTTAATGACACATCCAACATGACATTCAGGTGCAACGTTCATATGTCAACATACTGTTTGGGTATATTATACTAATATTGAGGTTCCTCTCTGGTTGTTTCTCAACCCACAGACTTTATTGTTGACAGTTTGCATCAGAGGAAATAGTTAAAGTGGCAATATAAAAGGGGTGCATAAAAAACTTAATTTTATTTGCAAATTTAACTTGTAACAAATTTAAGTACTAAATAGGATTAAAATGAACCTTGAGAGGATTATACCATTCTATTATTGGACTTATACTACTGATACATTAATACACAAATGGCATTTTACTGTTGTCTGTCAAAGTGGAGCCAATTTTATACACTTTAATGTTAAATCTGTAACAGTGTATGACGTTTTGTTCTCATGATATAGTTTTGAATATAAAATCTTGTGTAAATACTATATTTCTTAAATGTAGTGAAATTAAAAAGAAAAGTATTTTTTGAATTGTACTTTGAGTAGAAGCATAAAGTAGTATGAAATTGGCATGCTAAAGTGAAGTAAAAGCACATCATGCACAGCACTTTTGCATCCCATCACTAGACTATTCAGGGTAAATGTTTATTTTATTTTTTATGTATTGAAACAATGCAGTTGAGTTTCATGCTATTTCCACGTGTTGAGCAGTTTTTTTATTCCACGTCGTTACATTTCCAACACTGTAGGTGGCGGTGTGACCATTTCGCGTCTAAGTGCCATCCGCCATTACACACAAAGAAGGAGAAGTAAGAGGAAGAGAAAGCGAAGAAGAACAACAGAGGCGCTAACAGCTAGCTTGTCAGGTTACGTCGATGAAATTCTGAGGTAAACCTATTTTTTATACATTTTATACTTTCTACAGTAACACTCTGACATGTTTACAGTGCGTGTAGCTGCTCTGACGTGTAGAGAAGCGAAAAAGCAGAGTCGTTTCATTTATTGTTTCCCCCGGTGTTGTTAGCTTTCTCGATAACGCGAGGATTAGCTTGTAAACGTTAGCCGCTCATGCTAAGCACTCAGCTCGTCCCCTCGTTGCAACGCCGTTACTTAGTATATCAGTATTATTTCACACTGTGCAGTTACTAAAGCCTTCAGAGATATTAAACACCATTCTGCCTTTCCTAAGAGTTTTAGTGAAAATGAATGTCTGCCAGTTTTGGTGTTGTTTCGGTAGATATCTGTTAGCTTAGTTAGCTTAATAATATAAACAACACAACTAACGTTAGCTAACTTAAGGTTAATTTAACTTTGTGTCATGGCAACACAAAGGCAGTTCATTTATTCCCAAGAATGTATATTCCCAAGAAATTTTACTAATATTATCTTGTCTTTGCAGTCATGAAAGGAAAATATCATTTAAATAAAATAACGTTAGTGCCTAAATATTAAAGCCACTCTTATTAAAACTCGACACAATTTTATAGTCGCGCAAACTCAAGTCTCCACAATGACTATAAAGTTGAATCAAGTCCTCAACAGTACATTAAAAAATCAAACAAACAAACTAAAAAAAAACATAACAATACAGCGTTTATCATGGTAGGTCTTATTGGAGGGCTGCTGTATCAGACTGCATTAGTTTTACCCTACGTGTACCTAAACTGGCAGCAAAGTTTAGTACACCATTAAAGATGCAGTCGTGCAACTGGCGATTCATTTAGCTCACAAAACCCATCAAAATAAATAACATTTAGCATTTTGTGTAGCACAGCTTTAATTCTACAGTTTTAAACAAAAGTTTAAAGGTCCCATATTTTGCGAATTTTCTTGTATTTGGGGTATCTACTTGAACATGTTTACATGCTTTAGTTTTCAGGAAACACATTATTTATCTCATACGGCCTGCCTGAATATACCTGTATTCTCCCACTGCCTGAAACAGTGTTTTAGCTCATTTCCGAAAGAGCCCAGTTGGCTTCAATTGATCAGCATTTCTGGGTCTTCCACATCTGCATCATCTGCATCTTTGCACCATTATTGCAACTGTGGAATGACTGCAACGCCATTTTCTATCTTCATGTAGTACAGTTGTGACATCACAACTTCACGAAAGTCCTAACAGCCTGTTAAAAGGCACCCTTTCTGCATAAGGCTTGTGTGCATTTCTCTGTGGACTGAGCGGTGTGATACTTTAACAGTATTCAGCTCCTATACCTGCTGTGAATATATAAAACAACAACAACATAGAAGTCAGATTTTTGACTATATGGAAGATTTAATAAGTCCTTAAACATCTAATATTCATTTAAAAGATGTAAGCAGTGCAACTTTGCATCTTTACTCTTAAAAAAACTTGAATGACATCACATGGAGATGCACAAGGTTGTAATGGACATTGGTTGTAATATTTTACACTGTTGATTTATGAGTAATTGATTAACTAATATATGTTCAACTTTCATGTGTCAATTTGTGTGCATCACTCTCAATTATAATAGCATTAGTGGTACTAACAATAATCTTTGTCCTTGTTTATCTGATGTTATTCTAACAGCAGTGTTGCAGTGCGATTGAAGTGTATTCACCAACTCCTTCTTTTCATTCTCTTCTAGAGTTGTTTCTTCATCACACTGCCTCCCCTTTACCCCTTCACAAGCGCTGCAGGATTGTTGGGTTTCGGCTCTCTTCCTCACCTGCCAACATGCCAGCCGCACTTACAGATTCCAGTCAGATAATCTGTGAAGTCTGGGCGAGCAATGTCGAGGAAGAAATGAGGAAGATACGGCAGATTATTCAAAGCTACAATTACATTGCCATGGTAAGAGACGGGCAGTTTTGAGAGGAGTTGCTTTCTTATCTTTTTGAGTCATGTTGTGTAGAGGAAGAAAGTGAGAAAGAAAGAAAGAAGTGAAGACTTTATGGCTCAAAGACATGCAATGAGAAATCTTCAGGCTTTTGTTGTTTTTAATGTGCAGCATTGTATTTGTAGATGTAGTTATATGTTGTTTTCTAAAGCCTTTTGCATTAGTGATGCATGACTGAGTGGGGATTAACCCTAACACTTTTGAACATTACTCTTAGAAACCTATCCTGTTGGTAGATTTCATTCATTAATTAATTTATTTTTTTAACAAGAAAATGTTCAGTCTTTATTTTGAATAGTAAACAAGTAAAAGCCTAAATTCAATTTTTAAATACATTTTGAAGCAGAAAGACTTACATTTGAGGGACTCTGCTTCTTAATCAGCAGCTTGTATGCCTCGTGTTGCATTTTTTTTGTAAAACCTCAGGGTATTTCTCATCCGTACAAACTTACATAACTCTACGACATCGGTCAGACAGGTTAAGGCAAAGTAGGAACAAAAAAAAGTTGCATAACATAACTGCAGTTCACTCCAGAGTAGCGACAATCACATACTGAGAAATAACAGTGAAGGGTGGTCTTTTAATGTATTTATTTATTTTTCATCAGGACACAGAATTCCCCGGAGTGGTCGTCCGGCCAATTGGGGAGTTTCGAAGCACAGTAGACTACCAGTACCAGCTGCTGAGGTGTAACGTGGACCTCCTGAAAATCATCCAGCTCGGCCTCACATTCATGAACGAGGATGGAGACTATCCTCCTGGCACGACAACGTGGCAGTTCAACTTCAAATTCAACCTCACGTAAGTGGGCCGTCTTATTGCACTTTGTAATCTAGTCTGTCATTAACAAAAGATTCATCAGCTGATGACTGAGTTTGATGATAACACTTACTGAATGTCTTTTTCTGTGGCTCCTCACAGAGAAGACATGTACTCACAGGACTCCATAGACCTGCTCCAGAACTCCGGCCTTCAGTTTAAAAAACACGAAGAAGAGGGAATCGACACACTCTACTTCGCTGAGCTCCTCATGACGTCTGGTCTGGTGTTGTGTGAAAACGTCAAATGGCTGTCCTTCCACAGGTCAGTTGTATATTCTGATTTGAGCTTTTGCATTTTGGTCCCAGTTCAGAGGACTGTGAATCCTGCAGTTACTTTAACAATGACTTCAACTGTGAGCCATGTTGACTGCTTATTAGTTTTAACCCAGTAACATCAGTGTGATCCAGTCCGTCCTGATCCAAGTCCCCCTGCTCTGTATTTCTCAGCGGGTACGACTTTGGCTACCTAGTGAAGCTCCTGACAGACGCACGGCTCCCTGAGGAGGAACACGACTTCTTTCAGATCCTCAACCTCTTCTTCCCAGCAATCTACGATGTCAAGTACTTGATGAAGAGCTGCAAGAACCTAAAGGTATTATAGACTGGATACACATATACAGGGGGTAGACAGAGATGAGATTGTTGTTCTACACTTGTACATGGACACTAAGTCTGTCAAATCTTGTCAGTCTTGACTTATGTCTTATGTGTGTTTGTGCAGGGAGGGCTACAGGAAGTAGCAGACCAGCTGGAGCTCAAGAGGATCGGGCGGCAGCATCAGGCTGGATCAGACTCGCTTCTCACGGGCATGGCTTTCTTCAGGATGAAAGAGGTACAGTCACACAAATATCCAGAGGTTTAGATATATTTGATCTGCAGGATGAGCAGCTTCTGTGCATTTTCAGGCAATGTTTCTTCCAACTTTGATTACCAGAAAATTTTTAACCGCAGATGACTATCAGACGACTTTGTTTACTGTTAACTGTGCTGAAAGATGCCCTCTGGAAGGATTTATTTACAG